ACTCCACCATCACATACATACACCATTCCCAGACTCCACCAAGGCCTAACCTGACCTCTATAATATTTTCACCAATCCCACTCAGCGATCAAAACACAGGAGCTCCCCGAGCCATAACCCCGTGCTGGCGGCTGGCGGCGATGATAATAACAGATAGGGGAGACCTTATCTGCTTGTAGCAAGTTGATCCACTGCGGTGAACAAGAACGAGGGAAGGTTGGCAGGTGTGTAGCGGGTGTGTAGCAGCAACATGGTGTAGTGGAGAGCATCATGGAACATGTGACATGAAGGAAAGTTCAGGCTAAAGTCTATTTTATTAGAGAGATTATTCTGGGGTAAATCTTCTGGTGATTTGATTATTAATCCAAGAAGTTGTATCGAATTGTATTTATTACGCACCCGCCAAACCCCAGCTGTTTACGAATGAAAAACTGTTTACACACGACTCAACTGATTACGTTCGGACATTTCTGGAAAAAAAGTGCTTCACTGACGAATTTTGTTCGCACCACAACACTGTAAATGCTTCACCCAGGTTACGGGCAGCTTGGGGCCAGTAACGGGGGGTTTTCTGTTAACATGTCTTATAACTCTTGAATGATCCCACCCAAAGTCAATGGTCAGTTCTCAAGAATTGGCGGGAGCAACTAACAGTGCAAAGAATAAAGGGGGGGATAAACCACACACAATTACACCTTCAACAATATATTATCTATAATAGTATAACTACACATATGTACACTGTGTCACTGTCGCCCAGAACACTCAACAGATCTGCAGTGTTCATCAAATACCGGCGAGTCCACTACCTCCAGTAGTGGACTCGCCCACGTCGTCCACGCTCTATGGTAATCACCAGTGAGTTCACCTTCCTCAACATGGGCCAGTCCACACACCGTATCATCACGGTGTCCCAATACCCAACATCCGCTCTCCAGAAACACACTGGCAGAGGGCTTCAGCAACATGCCGACAGGGTTCTCAAATAATCACGTACAGGGGTAGCTAATACCCTGGCAGAAGTCTCTAGCAACACACTAGCAGCACTCTTCAGCAGACGAACGCTTCTGTTGTCTTGTAACTCCTCTTGGCCAAATCCCGGGTACGTTGGTTCCTGGTTCAACGCTACATAAATCCAACAGCTAACACACTGCTACTACCGACGGCGGTCACTTTGTCCTCTCACAGCACCAAGTCAGGAGTTCTGGACTGCCCAAGGTGAACTACCTTTTACAGTGCAATCGCCTCCTCACATCACCTCCGTGAACATAAGCGTCATAAGCTAAACAGACAGTATACTGGGTGACCTTAGGATAACACCAACTGGAGAACTGTCATTGTAATTGCATGGACAACCTAGATGGCGTTGATATCATTATGCCACCCACTAGAGGTCATCATCATTGACCTCACCTCCTAACTGAGGTATGAAACAGGAGCCTTTCACCGACGCCACACCACTGTCAACAGATGGCGTTGTCTGCGTCTCACCTCAGACCTGGGAGTTGGAGTGCAGGTCCAAAGATGGCGCCAAAATCGCCACTCCCCACTCCTGCAAAGGTGTTGATACCATAACAACCTACGTACTTCAAATACAAATAATCGCCAACAGAACCTAAACACCTAAGCTAACCTAACCTATGCCTATATATGCACAATATGCTAATATATTATAATCGTAATTTATATTTGAGAAAATTCCCGTTTTGAATGTACAGCATGTTAAAATTTTTCAACGACCTTGTGGTAGGCTCAATGTCGGCTCAACGACCTTGTGGTAGGCTCAATGTCGGCTCAACGACCTTGTGGTAGGCTCAATGTTGGCTCAACGACCTTGTGGTAGGCTCAACGACCTTGTGGTAGGCTCAATGTTGGCTCAACGACCTCGTGGTAGGCTCAATGTTGGCTCAACGACCTTGTGGTAGGCTCAATGTTGGCTCAACGACCTCGTGGTAGGCTCAATGTTGGCTCAACGACCTCGTGGTAGGCTCAATGTTGGCTCAACGACCTCGTGGTAGGCTCAATGTTGGCTCAACGACCTTGTGGTAGGCTCAATGTTGGCTCAACGACCTTGTGGTAGGCTCAATGTTGGCTCAACGACCTCGTGGTAGGCTTAATGTTGGCTCAACGACCTTGTGATGACTTCAACTCTCCAAGTTGAGTACACTCTCAACATGGCTGAGCTCCTGTTTACAATGGCTGCCTCCTTCCTCCTCTCTGGTCCAGAAACATTTCTTTATATTTGAGATTCTGGAGGAAGAATGGGTTTAAGGTAAAATCTAACTATTTACTATATAATTAATTTAATAGAGTCATTTTATTATGTAACCAGCCCTAAGACAGGTATATTTTATATTAAATTAGCCAAAACGTTGGCTTAACGCTAGCTAGCTACCCTTGAATACATATAACCCGGTTTTCTGTAACTTGTCTATGACTAACTAATGTAAATTAACAATAATTTATGGCGGTTATATTAGAGTTTGTATCTTTGATGTAGAAATTTCTTGCAATTGTCTATATGTTTGTCCTTCTGTCTATCTGTCGAAAGTTGGAGGCCAGAAGCGTGGGGTTAGCCTGGCCTAAATTCTCAAGATAAATTGTCTGGGGTATGGGATGAACATAGGCTGGTCCGTGTCGCCTCAGCCTAAAAGAGAACAGCGTGCCAGCCTCACATTCAGACCCCCCGCCCCCGACAAGTGTCACTGTCCGCCAGCTCCACTGCTCAATCAACAGATCAAACTTACTTTTTTTCTTGTAGTATTATGAACCATAATTCAGTGAGCGCAGGAACAGAATTATCACAAATGTCCCGCTGTGTATGACTTTGTCCGTACTAGGGAAAACACACGGACCTGCTAAATCTTTTCAAGGGGTAACTATTGTGCAGTATTCCATATTGCTACGCTGCTCTCACCCCCGACCACCTACACATTACACACTTATATTTTTTTTATTAGAGTCATACTGAGATAGACAGACACAGAAATACAGAGACAGACAGATACACAGATGTTATGTTAGGGTAACCTGTGGCAACACAGAGGTTAGCACAGTCGGGACACAACCGAACGGTCCTACGTTCGAATCAAAAGCAGGGCGAGACGTATGGGCAAGTCTCCTTGCACCCATTGCTTCTGTCCACCCCAGTAGTGATTAGGCACCAGGGTGTTAGTTGACTGTTGTGGGCGGCATCCTGGGGAATGGTGAAATGCTGCACATATCCCAGGTATACTGCACATATCCGAGGTATACGCGAATTTCCCTCAGGACCTCGCAAGACCCACCACAAAGAGTGGCCCGGGAGGTCGCAGTGCCCAAAAAAGGGTTCACGTCCGAAGACAAAGAGTGGGCTCAGGCCCAAACAAAGTAACTAGTACACACAGACAGCCAGTAGGTGGATGGTTAGATACATTCACAGATACATGAATAAATGCATGGATAGATAGATGGATATATGCATGGATAGATGGATAGAGACACGGAGAGATAGATGGGTTGGTAAATTCATGTGCTGAGATACGAAGTACCCAGCTGGTCTCACCCACTGTTGTTCTTAAAACAGAACAATAAAGGATATGTAACAGGAGAGCAGAACTCAGCAGAACACCAGAACACAGCAGAACACCAGAACGCAGCAGAACACATCAGAACACAGCAGAACATCAGAACACAGCAGAACACCAGAACACAGCAGAACACCAGAACACAGCAGAACACAGCAGAACACATCAGAACACAGCAGAACATCAGAACACAGCAGAACATCAGAACACAGCAGAACATCAGAACACAGCAGAACATCAGAACACAGCAGAACACCAGAACACAGCAGAACACCAGAACACAGCAGAACACAGCAGAACACCAGAACACAGCAGAACATCAGAACACAGCAGAACATCAGAACACAGCAGAACATCAGAACACAGCAGAACACCAGAACACAGCAGAACACCAGAACACAGCAGAACACCAGAACACAGCAGAACACCAGAACACAGCAGAACACCAGAACACAGCAGAACCAAAAGAATATGCTAATCCCTCAGCATGCTGCCATGATAATCCCTCAGCATGCTGCCATGCTAATCCCTCAGCATGCTGTCATGATAATCCCTCAGCATGCTGCCATGCTAATCCCTCAGCATGCTGCCATGCTAATCCCTCAGCATGCTGCCATGCTAATCCCTCAGCATGCTGTCATGCTAATCCCTCAGCATGCTGTCATGATAATCCTTCAGCTTGCTGCCATGCTAATCCCTCAGCATGCTGCCATGCTAATCCCTCAGCATGCTGTCATGATAATCCCTCAGCATGCTGCCATGCTAATCCCTCAGCATGCTGCCATGCTAATCCCTCAGCATGCTGCCATGCTAATCCCTCAGCATGCTGTCATGATAATCCCTCAGCATGCTGTCATGATAATCCCTCAGCATGCTGCCATGCTAATCCCTCAGCATGCTGCCATGCTAATCCCTCAGCATGCTGCCATGCTAATCCCTCAACATGCTGTCATGATAATCCCTCAGCATGCTGCCATGCTAATCCCTCAGCATGCTGTCATGCTAATCCCTCAGCATGCTGCCATGCTAATCCCTCAGCATGCTGTCATGATAATCCCTCAGCATGCTGTCATGATAATCCCTCAGCATGCTGTCATGATAATCCCTCAGCATGCTGCCATGCTAATCCCTCAGCATGCTGCCATGCTAATCCCTCATCATGCTGCCATGATAATCCCTCAGCATGCTGCCATGATAATCCCTCAGCATGCTGTCATGATAATCCCTCAGCATGCTGCCATGCTAATCCCTCAGCATGCTGCCATGATAATCCCTCAGCATGCTGCCATGATAATCCCTCAGCATGCTGCCATGATAATCCCTCAGCATGCTGCCATGCTAATCCCTCAGCATGCTGCCATGCTAATCCCTCAGCATGCTGCCATGATAATCCCTCAGCATGCTGCCATGATAATCCCTCATCATGCTGCCATGCTAATCCCTCAGCATGCTGCCATGATAATCCCTCAGCATGCTGCCATGATAATCCCTCAGCATGCTGCCATGATAATCCCTCAGCATGCTGCCATGATAATCCCTCAGCATGCTGCCATGATAATCCCTCAGCATGCTGCCATGATAATCCCTCAGCATGCTGCCATGATAATCCCTCAGCATGCTGCCATGATAATCCCTCAGCATGCTGCCATGATAATCCCTCAGCATGCTGCCATGATAATCCCTCAGCATGCTGCCATGATAATCCCTCAGCATGCTGCCATGATAATCCCTCAGCATGCTGCCATGATAATCCCTCAGCATGCTGCCATGATAATCCCTCAGCATGCTGCCATGATAATCCCTCAGCATGCTGCCATGATAATCCCTCAGCATGCTGCCATGATAATCCCTCAGCATGCTGCCATGATAATCCCTCAGCATGCTGCCATGATAATCCCTCAGCATGCTGCCATGATAATCCCTCAGCATGCTGCCATGATAATCCCTCAGCATGCTGCCATGATTATCCCTCAGCATGCTGCCATGATAATCCCTCAGCATGCTGCCATGATAATCCCTCAGCATGCTGCCATGATTATCCCTCAGCATGCTGCCATGATAATCCCTCAGCATGCTGCCATGATAATCCCTCAGCATGCTGCCATGATAATCCCTCAGCATGCTGCCATGATAATCCCTCAGCATGCTGCCATGATAATCCCTCAGCATGCTGCCATGATAATCCCTCAGCATGCTGCCATGATAATCCCTCAGCATGCTGCCATGATAATCCCTCAGCATGCTGCCATGATAATCCATAAGGATGAGCGATGTGTGTGCGTGTACTCACCTAGTTGTGCTTGCGGGGGTTGAGCTCTGGCTCTTTGGTCCCGCCTCTCAACTGTCAATCAACTGGTGTACAGGTTCCTGAGCCTACTGGGCTCTATCATATCTACATTGTAAACTGTGTATGGAGTCAGCCTCCACCACATCACTGCCTAATGCATTCCATCTGTTCCATTTGTATTCACCTAGTTGTGCTTGCGGGGGTTGAGTTCTGGCTCTTTGGTCCCGCCTCTCAACTGTCAATCAATCAACTGTTACTAACTACTATTTTTTTATTTATTTATTCCCCCCCCCCACACACACACAATCAAGACAAGAAAGGATTGTGATGGAAAAATATGAATTGCATGAGATATTGAGATGTATTAGGGCCGCGGTGGCGGGAAACGAGGTGGAACTCGGTCGCCTGGTTGGACTTAACATCTCCCCCGCCCCTGCTACATGGCACTTGTCAATGACCCTAATGGGCCAAGCCATGCCCTCCCTAACTACCCCCCCCCCCTCCCCTACTACCCCCTCCAACTCCCCTGCCCCCTTCTACCCCATTGCCTTCAATTCCACCTGCTTCATCCCATCTTCCATTGCACCCCTCTTTCCCACACCCCCAAACCCCACCCAACCCTCTCCCCTCCTCTGCACCCCTGGCTCCCATATAACTCCCTCTCCCCTCCTTTGCACCCCCAGCTCCCATATAACCCCATCACCTTGTGACCCCCTAACACCTTCCCCCATCTCCTTCCTCCCCTCTTCTCCCCCAAAACCCCCACCTACCTCTGATTCCCCCCTGACTAATACACCCTCTCTCTCCCACTCTCAATACCCACGCTGCATTCTCCCCTCAGCCCTCTGCCCCCACTATCCCTCTCCCCCCCCAACCTCTCAACATCTATCTGACTCTCAGCCTCACTCTACTTCTCAACCCCCTTATGACATTCAGACCCTCCCTAATTTTAAGACCCACTATGCCCTTCCTACCCCCTTAGATGCCCAGACCCCATTCGCCTACCAGGCACCCCCAGGCACACCCCAGCACCCCCCAGACACCCCCAGGCACACCCCAGCACCCCCCAGACACCCCCCACAGCCCCATACGCCCCCAAGACACCCCTCAGACCCCTCCCCAGACTCCCGGTGAAAGGGTGAGCTCTAGTACCAGAGTTTCCAAGAAGAGTCTCAAGGTTTGGTACACCAATGCTGATGGGGTATCCAATAAAGCAGAAGAGATAAAAGAAAGAATTAGTGAGGCAGACCCAGACATAGTGGCAATAGTGTAAACTAAAATAAATGGCATGATCTCGGATGCACTCTTTCCAGCGGGGTACCAGGTGATAAGAAAAGAAAGGACACAGAGACAGGGAGGAGGAGTGGCACTCCTAATAAAGCAGAAATGGAAGTTTGATGACCTGAAAAATCCGGGTACCAATGAAAGCACGAACTCCATACATGGAAGCCTGACAGAGGATGGGAAGAAGATTGTGATCTTGATACTCTACAAACCCCCACCAAACAGCAGCAGGCCCAGGCAGGAGTACGAGGACAGCAACAAGACATGTATAGATGAACTGCAGAGGGCAGCAACAATAGCGCATAGAATCAGAGCGAAGCTGGTGATCGTGGGGGACCTAAATCACGGAGAGATCAATTGGGGATCAAGGAATCCCCATGGAGGTGATGAAACGTGGGGAGCAAAGTTAGTAGACGTTATTGACAGGAATTTCCTAACACAACATGTGAAGGAAGACACAAGGGAAAGAGGAGGGGATACGCCTAGCCTATTAGACCAAATTTTCACTCAGAATGTAGAAGACATCGAGAATTTGGAACATTCAATACCACTAGGAGCCAGTGACCATTGTGTCCTAGTCTTTGACTACATGATGGAACTCAAAACTTTTGACCATGGGACAAGAGGTCCGGGAAAGGAGAGTTGACTACAGGAAAGGGGACTACAGAAGGATAAGGGACTATCTGGGACAAGTGCTGTGGGAGGAAGAACTTAAAGGGAAAAAAAGTGCAAGGTATGATGAACCAAGTCATATGGAAATGCAAGGAGGCTGAAGAGAGATTTATTCCAACAGTAAACGAAAAAAAGCAGGAAGGAATATAATAACCCATGGTTTAATAGACAGTGTCAGGAAGCAAAAGTGAGAAGCAGGAGGGAGTGGAGGAAGTACAGAAGACAAAGGACAGAGGACAACAGGATTAGATGTAACAGAGCTATGAACGATTACATTAACGTAAGACGAGTGTCGGAAAGGAATTATGAGAATGATATTGCAATCAAAGCGAAAAAGCAACCTAAATTACTACACAGCCATATTAGAAGGAAGATGTCGGTGAAGGACCAAGTGACAAGACTGAGGAAAACAGAGGGGCATATACAGAAAGTGACAAGGAAATCTGCGAGGTACTGAATGCAAGTTTCCATGGAGTGTTCATCACCGAGTCTGAGCAACTTCCATTATTAGAAGAGATTACCCTAGACGGAAGACTATCAGATATAGCGGTGACAGCAGAGGAGGTAATGAAACAGCTGACAACACTGGATGCAATTAAAGCGGTTGAACCAGACAAAGTATCACCGTGGATACTAAAAGAGGCAGCGCAGGCCCTCAGCGTGCCTCTGGCAATGAGTCACGTATGTCGGGAGAATTGCCCAGTTGCTGGAAGAGGGCAAATGTCGTACCGATTTTCAAGAAAGGAGATAGGGAGGAGACACTTAACTACAGACCCGTATCACTGACAAGCATCCCCCTGTAAAATACTTGAAAGAATAATTAGGCTACGACTTGTTGCACACCTGGAGAGCATTGGGTTTGTAAACAAGCACCAACATGGATTTTGGACAGGGAAATCATGCCTAACAAACCTTTGGAATTCTATGATAAAATAACAAGAATAAGGCAGGACAGAGAAGGCTGGGCAGACTGCATATTTCAAGACTGCCAAAAGGCCTTTGATACAGTACCGCACATGAGACTGCTATTCAAACTTGAGAGGCAGGCTGGAGTAAGCGGAAAGGCCCTAGCATGGGGTAAGGAACTACCTAACAGAAAGAAGCCAGAGAGTAATGGTAAGGGGCAAGAAGTCGGACTGGCGAACAGTAACGAGTGGAGTACCTCAAGGATCGGTGCTGGGACCAATCCTATTTCTAATTTACGTAAATTATATGTTTATAGGAGTGGAATCCTACATGACAATGTTCGCGGATGACGCAAAATTAATGAGAAGAGTTGTGACAGATGAGGATTGTAGGATCCTCCAAGAGGACCTGGACAGGTTGCAGAGATGGTCAGAGAAATGGCTACTGGAGTTCAACACGAGTAAATGTAAAAGTTATGGAAATGTGATCAGGAGATAGGCGACCAAAGGAGGTACCAAAGGTACGCAATGGAGGGGAAATGCCTACCTGTAACGATTCGAGAAAGAGACCTGGGCGTGGACGTAACACCTAATCTAACTCCTGAGGCACATATAAATAGGATAACGACAGCAGCGTACTCTACACTGGCAAAAGTTAGAACATCATTCAGAAACCTAAGTAAGGAGGCTTTAAGGGCGCTTTACACTGCCTATGTGAGACCAGACTTAGAGTATGCTGCACCATCATGGAGTCCCCACCTGTAAAAACACATAAGGAAACTGGAAAAGGTTCAGAAGTTTGCGACGAGGCTTGTCCCAGAATTACGAGGGATGGGATATGAAGAGCGCCTGAAGGAACTGAACCTTATGACACTAGAAAAAAAGGGAGAGAGGGGATATGATAGGAACGATATGGGATAGATATTGGAGGGGATATGATAGGATAGATATGATTTGATTTGATTTGATTTGATTTTGGAACATATAAAATACTCAGGGAAATTGACAAAGTGGAAATAGATGAAATGTTCACACGTAATAATAACAGAACGAGGGGACATGGGCGGAAGCTGGAAACTCAGATGAGTCACAGAGATGTTAGGAAGTTTTCTTTTAGCGTGAGAGTAGTGGGGAAATGGAATGCACTTCAGGAACAGGTTGTGGAAGCAAATACTATTCATAATTTTAAAACTAGATATGATAGGGAAATGGGACAGGAGTCATTTCTGTAAACAACCGATGGCTAGAAAGCCGGGATCCAAGAGTCAGTGCTCGATCCTGCAAGCACAAATAGGTGAATATAAATAGGTGAGTACACACACACACACACACACACACACCAGGAAGCAGCCCGTAACAGCTGTCTAACTCCCAGGTTCCTATTTACTGCTAGATCACAGTGGCATCAGGGTGAAAGAAACTCTGCCCATCTGTTTCCGCCGGTGGTCGGGATCGAACCCGGACCCTAGGATTACGAATCCCAAGCGCTGTCCATTCAGCCACAACCCCTGTTTGTGTGTGTGGGTGCGGGGGTGAAGGAGTGCGCTCCAAGATTCTGAGTGTGAGCCATCATACAGCTCACAAGTATACCACCATATACTCCCTCCCTCTTATATCTATTCAGTTATACCCATAACTCTCCTTCCTGGCACAGTTATACCCATACCCCTCCTTCCTGGCACAGTAATACCCATACCCCTCCTTCCTGGCACAGTAATACCCATACCCCTCCTTCCTGCACAGTAATACCCATACCCCTCCTTCCTGGCACAGTAATACCCATACCCCTCCTTCCTGGCACAGTAATACCCATACCCTCTCTCTCTCCGCCAGGCCCTGAACGAGCTGATGCCCGCCCTGGAAGCTGCCAACATCTCTCTTCAGGCCACTGTTACTCTCTCCTCTGGGGACTATACTGAGCACCTCCACACTCTTAAGGTGAGTTACTCTGCTGTGTGTGTGTGTGTGTGTGTGTGTGTGTGTGTGTGTGTGTGTGTGTGTGTGTGTGTGTGTGTGTGTGTGTGTGTGTGTGTGTTTACTAGTTGTGTTTACTAGTTGTGTTTTTACGGGGGTTGAGCTTTGCTCTTTCGGCC